AATCTTATCTGGAAACATGTTTGCAAAACAGAAAAAAAAAAAAAAAAAAAAAAAGAAAAAGGAATGAAAGCCCCAGGAAGAAGAAAAATAGCATGAGTGAAGACATGGACAGACGTGAGCAAGCTTGGCAGGTTCTAGAACATATGTGTGGTCTGGGAGGGGAGGCCACAGAGTTTGTAGGAGATGGGCCAGAACACAGGCCAGCCCTGAAGGACCTCAACCACCCTGCTAAGGAATGGCAGCATGATGTTAAATAGAAGGAGATCAGATCTGCACTCTAGAAAATGACCCAGTGAGGCCCAGCACAGTGGCGCCTACCTGCAATCCCAGCGACTCAGGAGGCTAAGGCAGGAGGATGGTAAGTTCAAGACCAGCCTCATCAATTTGAGGCCTTAAGCGATTTAGCAAGATCTTGTCTCAAAATAAAAATAAAAAGGGATGGGGATGTGGCCCAGTGATAAAACGCCCCTGAGTTATATTCTCAGTACCCCCCCCAAACAAAAAAATACAACAAAAAGAAAGTGACACAATGAGGAGACCCTTCTGAAGGTGGGGGTGGGGCTGGGCTGATGGGGCCAGGCAGAGAAGCAGCCTTTTAAGTGAATGTCACACATGATTTATTACATTTGGAATCTCTGTTGCTAGGGTCTGAATGTCTGTGCTCCCTCCATTCACTTGGAAGGAGGCCTTAAGGAGGTGCCTGGGTTGTGAAGGCAGAACCTGGTGGGCCCCCAGACAGCCTTTGGGCTTTAGAGGGGGGAGTTTACAGTCACCCGAGAAAGCAGTTCTCCCTGTCACCCACTGGGCCTCAGCCTTGACCTCAGACTCCCAGCCTCCAGAACAGCCTGGTCTATGGGATTTGTTGGAGCAGGCTGAATGGACTAAGTGATCTAAAGATGGCAGACCTATTATCCAGACGCCTAAGAGGCAGGCTCAAGGCCTCCTGGGAGGACAAGCAGACATTTCCTAGGGAACAGGGAGGAGGAAGGGAAGGTTTCCAGACACTAGCTCCAAGGGCCCTGAGAGGAGCCACAGCCCATCGGAGGGGTGGAAGCAGCTGGTGTGTTTGAGTATGAGGGCAGGCGACTGTCCACTCTGAGGCAAGAGAATCACAAGTTCAAGACCAGCCTCAGCAACTTGGGCTGGGAGGTAGCTTAGTGGGAGCGCTTGCCCAGCGTGTGCAGTGCCCTGGGTTCCATCCCCAGCACCACACAGAGAAGCAGCCACCACCCCACCACCGAACACGAGTGTGCMGGCCCAACACGCTAACTGGCGGTGTCTTCCCTGGAGATATGTCATAAATACTTCTGGGTGAGACAGACTCCTCTTTCCTCTCCTCTTTTCTTTTCTGGAATGTATCTTTCTCCTGCACTGTCCTCCTGCACTTCAGCCTGCTCTGTCCCCGCCAGGCTGCTTTCTGTTTGTGGGTTCGGCTTAAACCCCTCTATTTCACTAATGGTGTCATCGTTTCCCTTGAGGACTTTACAGAGATGGAAGCTCTGATGGCCGCTAATCTGGTCCCACAAATGAGTTTCTGAAGCACAAGGGCCCTGCGGTGGCCCTCTCCCCTGCTCGCCCTCTCTGCCTCTGATTGTCTGCCTTCCAGTCATTTGGCCAGCAGATATCTTCTGAGTGCCAACCGCGTACCTGGTACCGTCCTTGGTGAAAGAAAGCGGGTGGAATTCCCATTCAGCTGGCATCCTCTTCCCCTGCAGCCTGAGAAATGAAAGGCTCCCGTGCCCTGACCAAGCCACCCACCTGAGTCTGTCCAGGAGAGGTGGAGGTGAGAGGAGAAACAACACTGGACACTGCTAGGACAGGGCGGGTTCCAGAGCCTGGTCGGGAGCTAGTGAGCGGCGCGTGGCTGGCTAAGACCGTGGCACGGGGGAAGGCTGCCGTTAGCCACCCGAGTCCACCCCCTCAGCACGCGCTGAGGGCTGAGCTGTGTTTGCCATCATGAGAGGCCTCGGCCGTGCAAAGATCAAACGGTGTTTCCTCAATGCACTCAGCGAGGGGAGTGAGGGGAGAAAGCGGAACAGCCACGAAGGTGGCAGCACCCCGCAGAGGCCCTGCTCCGCCAGAGGACTGACCGTAATGGGAGATGGGCCTGAAGTACTGATGGGTGAGCTGCGTCAGCAGGTGGAGAAGGGGAGCCTCAGTTTAGGTGAAGACTCAATCCCTCCGTGTGTGATCTTACCACAGAAGTGCAAGGAGGTCTAGCATAACACGCCCCAGTGTAACTGGGGTTGAGCGTGGTAAGAGACGAAAGCAGACAGATCACAGAAACCCTCCGGCGACACAGAGCTGTCTCCACTTTATCTTGGGCATAAGTGATGAAGGACAGATGTTCAGAGGGGGTGGTGCGGTCTTTCCGATTTGCACATCTAAAAGACCATTTTTGGAAGCCATATGGAGAAGGGCCACAGCAAGGAGGCCAGTCAAGAGGCGTGAGGGAATCCAGGAGTGATTTGGGCCTGGATTAAGAGAGTCATTGTGGCCACAGAGAAGGTTCCAGAATAACCAGTGCACGCACTTCCAAAGACTTGTCAGAGTTAGCAAAGTTGAGGGAGAAGGAGAAGTCTAGGATGAGCCTAGGCCTGGGCAGAAGAACAGAACTTTGGGGTGATGCCTACCTGCCCCGTGCCCGGGGAGCCCAAGTCTCACGGATAGGCTGTGGGAAGCCAGTGGCCCCCCCTTCTCCGCGGTGGGCTCCCTGGGAGGCACCCTGGGCACATCTTTCTCCTTTCACCCTTCATTCCACCACCAGCCTCACAACCCCCGCCGAGGCCATGGACTCACCAGATGCAGGGACTGAAGCGACGGGGCTCTCTTCACTCTGGAGGTGCTGCTGTGGGAAGCTGGGCTAGGCACGGCGGGCTGCAGCTGCTCCACGCTGTAGCTCCGGGACTTGCTCAACTTGGGCCGGGAAGTCTGGCCGAGGACCGAGAGGAGCTTCTTCAGCCCCAGGGTGGAGGCCAGGCCGCTGCTCCTTTTCTTGTTGGCTCCAGAAGCAGCAGCTGGGGGCACCCTGGGCCCTGCACTGGCCTCTGGTGATGCTCTGAAACACAAGAGTGGACCTGAGGCGGGCTGCAGAGACCTGGGGGTGGAGTCAAGGCAGGCCGCAGCACCAACGCCTCATGAGGGGGACTGGCAATGAGTTGAGAAAGTAGACTGTGCCGGGTGCTCTGCCCCGGGGAAGGCGCCTAGGCCAGCCCCCGCCATAAAGGCAGCTAGGGTTCAGCCCCTGGTCCATTCCTTATTTCTGAGGACTTCCTTTGTGCCGGCCTCTTCCAGACCCTGGCTATGTGCTGTATAAGACAAACCAGGTCCTTCTCTCAGAGCTTATCAACAGCAGACCACTAAGCCAAGGGGAAAACCCTGAGTGACTGCTGAGTGCAGCAGAGTGGCCAGGTGTCTGGTTGAAACAGTGGCCAGGGAAGGTCTCTTTGAGAAGATGGCCTTTACCCTGCAATCTGAATGCCAAGCAGGAACCAGGCTGCCATGCTGGAGGTGCCTGGGCCAAGACGGGAAGAGGCGTGGGCTCAGGAACCACAGAGTCCAGGACACAGGGTGTGGGTGCAGGGAATGGGAGGAGGGCAGAGAGGCCAGGTGAGGTCAGGCAGGCAGGCCCAGGAGGATGACCTGGAGCACGGCCGGCCATGGTGAGGGGGTCTGAATTCTGTTCCAAGTGGGAGAAATAGCCATTTTAGGTTTTTAAATAGTAAAATAATGCCATTTAATAAAGGTTTTAAAAAGATGCTCCTGACTATCATGTGTGAAGAAGGAACCAGAAGGAACAAGAGAGAAGGTGGAGTAGGCCAGGGCTCCTGTAGATTCACAAAAAGGAGATCCCACAGCTGAGASCAGGAGAAACGGCCAGGGGGATGTGGGAGGGGGAAGACTTGCTGCGGGTAGAGCAGATTTAGGGCTTGAGCCCGGTGGGGCAGGCAGCGTGGTAGTAGGCACTGGATGTTGAGTTCTTGGGACTGGCCAGACAGGCTGAGTTCTGGAGTGCACAGAAGGCTGGAGACGGGGAGCTGGAGACGGGGAGCTGGCTCGGGGTATGTGGGAGGCCTGGAGTTGCATGCAGTCAGTCACCAGGCAAGGTGTGTAYGTGTGGCACAGGACAGAGGGCCCTGGCCAGAGCACCAGGCTCACTGCAGCTTTGAGGTCAGTCCACAGAGGTGCCCCAGGCAATGACTCAGACCCACAGCTGAAGAAGAGTAGAGAAACAGTTTCCCTCAGCATCCGGTTTCCAAGCCCGGGTCAGGAGCAAGTCCTTCCAGACAGCACCCAGAGGGCTGGGACTCCGTCAGCTGGGTCTGTGACCAGCTCAGTGGCTGGGGCTGGAGGCCATTCAGGGGATGTTCAGCAAATGAACAACAAGGTACATCAGACTAAAAAGAACTAAAAAGGAGTGTCAGGGCCGCCAGGCTAGGGCATGGTCTAGGGACTCCAAGGATCTGGGGGCAATGAGGCCAGTCATGCTACCATCCTGGGAGTCTCCTCCCCACCCAACACCCTCTCCTGCAATCAGGGCTCCTACTCCTGCCACTTACCCAGGTGGCATGTGCCCTCCAGAACTGGACTCTGTCCTCTGCAGACCTTCTTCCAGGTCCTGGCTGGACTCCAGCTCCTCTGAGGCCAGGGAGAGGGTAATGCCCATGGAGTTGACGACGGTGTCTGCCAAGCTGAGAGAGCCCTGGAGTCCTCCTGCAAAGGCCATAGCATCCCTCCTGTATCAGGCTGACCATTCCCCAGGCCAAGGTGGGGAGAGGACAGGCCCAGCCTCAGAGGCTGGAGAGCAGGAGGGCGGAAGAGGGGTGGGAGCCTCAGCAGAGCAGTGGAGGCAGTGGAGGGAGCAGCAGATGGAGGGGCCGGCTCTCGGAGGATTGGCCAGGGGAGTCATGGACGGGGTCCTGAGGCCTGCTATCAGCTCATCACCCAGGCCAGCTGCTGGTACACAGTAGATGATTAATAAGTGTTTAAGTGACGGTGTTGCTTGTGATAAGTCATGCCCCTTCTATATCATGGGACATAGTTGGAAATGGGGACATTTTATATTCCTGGGATAGAAAACAATTTGTCATCTACGATTTCTCACAGCTTTGACAACTGCCGCCATTTGGCGAGCATCTGTATGCAATAGGCAGTGCTGAGCCCCCTGGGGGTTCCTGGGAGGTTCCATTATTGTCCTTTACAGAGGAGCCTGGAGCATGGGGGAGTAGGTGACTTGCCCAGGTCTTGCAGCGAAGGCCTCCCCTGGCTCTCTGCTCCAGGCCTCGAAGGATGCCCAGAAAGGGCTCAAGATAGAAGCCCCTTGGGAAGYGGTCAGGAGCAAACCAGCCGCTAGCCTAGAGCCCCCTGAGGGAAGAGACGGCAACACCAAGGATTTGCCCCGGACGGGGGACCCCTCCCGAGGACAAAGAGGTGCTACCTACCCACTTCAGCAGCCTGCCCGCTGAAACCACCAGCCAGCCAGCCCAGCAGGGCCAGGGTCCTGGGGGACTCAGGCCAGAGGGCAGCCCTACCACACCCTACAGGAGCTCTGCCTGCTGGTCACGGTGCCCCCTGGGAAGCAGGTCTGACTGGCCACAGAAAGTCACAAGGGCAGGTCTCTTGTTGAAGCAGCTCACTTACATGTTCCCACAGCCCCTAGCACAGTGCTCAACACCGCTGAGTGACAGAGCCAGTGGGTGCGTGACGTGGAAGGTTTCTGCTCTGGGATTCCTGGGCACTGACTGCCCAAAGCCAATAGCAGATCCTGGAGCTGCTGCCCCTTCCTGCTTTATGGAGCCAGATTCCCATGAAGCCCAGCTGCCCGCAGCCATGGAGCTTGCTGCTGGGAACCACGGCCTCCCCATGGTCCTGCCTCCACTCTGGGCTAAGCTGAAGCCTGCCTCCAACYCCCAGGCCACCAGCTCCCCTGACACCTGCCGTCACTCTGAGGGGCTGCTGGGAGTGTGTGGCTGTGTTATCTGACCACTGAGAAGAAAAGCAAGTGAAGACTGAATGCCCAGAGTGTCCCCGAACTGGCCTGAGGCCGAGTCTGAGCAAGGGCAGTCTTACCGTCTCCGCTGCTCTCCAGGGGTAGATCCGGCTCCTGGCCACAGGGACCCCTGTCTGCCCTGCCGTGGTGGAGAGCTGCTCCCCAGGGCTCCTGCAGCCCCAGGGGGGAACAGTTGTTGCAGTTGTTGGTGGACAGGGCCAACAGTGGGTGCCTGACTTGGGGACTGCCGGGCCGAGCCAGCGCTGCCTTCCTGTGAGGCCCAGGGGAGGTGGTTTTCCTTGAAGTGGGAGGTGTTGGCACCCAGCCTTCAGGGCAGAGAGAAGCAGCTGGCTGCCGGGCTGGGCGGTGAGCAGAGGGCTCTGCATGGCTCTGCTGCAGGGAGGAAGTGCAGACAGTTTCGGGAGACTCGTGGCCTTCTATAACTTGGTCTGGTCTGCCTGGCCCCGAGGGCCCAAGCTTTGTGGAGGACGTGGTGACATAGGCTGTCCTGCAAGGAGCCCAGGAGTCCACAGGGTCCCAGTGACTTTTCAGTTCTTGTTCAGGTTGTTTCTCGGACCCAAGGGAAGACCTCTCAGGTTCCAGGGCAGGAGGCTTAGGGACAGCATCTTCTCTCAGAAACAGAGTCCCATCCGGTGTATGTCCCCTGCCTTCCTTCACCTCATCTCCCTCCTCCACATCGGGAACCCCATCCTGGGCCTCAGCTTTCTTGGACCACCTGTGGCCTCCTTGAGGCCTGGAGCCCTGCTGTCGGCGGCTGCTGCCTTGGGGCCGCCTGCCTGTCCTTCTGGGCTGAGAGGTCCCAGGTTCCTCACTGTCTGTCCGGCAGCTGTCTGAGGTGTCCGTGCTGTCCAGGGCAGAGTCCCCCTCCTCAGGGCACACAGTGGTGTCTCCAATGTGTGTTTCCCGGACCCATTCTGAGTGGAGCCCTGGCTCAGCAGGGAAGAGCTGGAATGGGGAGCTGGGGCCACAGGAGGTTTGGGGCTCCAGCATCACCCCCTCCACTCCACAGGCAGCCTGGAGTCCCTGGGCCACCCCAGGGCTGGGAGGCACCTTCCCCTCAGCAGGGCGTCCGTCCTGAAGACAGTGGCCACAGGCTCTGCACTTCCCCTCGCTGCCCCATGGGGCTGGGGGTGCCAGGAGGCCCCTGCGGTCTAGGCCACCCAGGGGCCTGGGGAACGTGCCCTCGCCCATGTCCCGGTTAATGTAGTGGGTGACATGGGGCTTGGAGCGCAGTGGCCCCTGGCCCGAGGCCGGTAGCGCTGTGCTCAGCACCTGGCGCTGGCGCTGCTGCAGCCGCTCCAGGTAGCGGGACTCAGCCTCACGGGCAGTCTCGTCCTGAAAGCGAACGTGCGAAGGGGACGTGCCCTGCTTAGGCCACTGCCCGCTGCTGGACTCCCCGCTGGAGGAGTCACTCACGTTCCCATTCTGGAGACTGTCTCTGCGGGCCAAGGTCATCCTGGGCTCCAGGGCTGGGCCTCTCTGGCCATCTCTAAAGAAGAGACAGGAGAGAGGTCACAGGTAGAAGGCTGGGTGTGGGGAAGATGGTTCCTCCCTGGGTACACCCTGGCCCGACCCTCACCACACAACCAGGGGAACAGTCTCCATGATGCTCTGGGATTGCTGTAACCCACAAAGTTACCCCAAATCAGCTTCCTGGGGCGTCAAGGCCAAGCCCTGTATCACAGGCCCATTCTGATTCTGATGCCCAGCACCAAACAGAAGCCCCATGTTCCCTCTGTGGCCTGGTTGGGCCTGAGCTGAGAGAAAATGTCATTAAACTCAGGACTGTATGGAAGGAAGACACCAAAGTCCTTCTGTGTGAGGTGTGTGTGTGTGTGTGTGTGTGTGTGTGTGTGTGTGTGTGTGTTCAGGAGAGGAAGTGGTCATCGTGCGATGCTGGTAGTGGTCAGCTGTGGAAATATGGACAACCAGTCCTCTATATTCACAGGCTCGAGTCTGTGGATCAACCAGCTGCATATCAAAAGCATTTGGAAAGAACACCTGCATCTCTACCGCACACGTAGAGATCTTTTTTCTTGTCACAACCCCCTAGATACTGTAACCCAACGACTTTTCACATCATATTAAGTGTTATAAGCAACCAACAGATGGTTGGAAGGAGTATGTGCACAAGTTATATGGGGTGTGTGTGTGTGTGTATGTGTGTGTGTGTGTGTGTGTGTGGTGCTGGGGATCAAACCAGGATCTCCTGCATACCAGCTAAGTGCCCCACCACTGAGCAACATCCCAGCCCTAGATTATATCCAAATGCTACGCCATTTTACATCAGGGACTTGAGCATCGAGGTTTTGGTATCTGCRGGAGGTCCTGGAACCAATCCCCCATGGACACCCCAAGGGTACATTCACGGCACATGTGGTGGAGCCCTTATGGGGAAAGGGTGTTTTAAGTGCTGGGGAGAGTCGTCACAGCCATCAGCTTTGGCTTGGGAGGCRCTGTGGCTGGGCTCGGCCCTCCCTGTCTCACCCCAGGCCCCAGGAGCCAGAGTTTCAGGCCTCTGTGCAAGCGAGCCCAGACCCCTGGCTTTCCTCCTATCAGAGGCCCCTGTGAGGGCCACACTCTCCCTCCCCTTCCCAGCCTCCYGCCAATCCACTGCTGAGTGTGTGGGAGCCACTTCTCACACCTGGGTGGCCCCTTCTGGCCTCTCCACCTGCCTCCTGTCTGTGGCCCTCGGGAGCCCAGCTCTCTTCACACCCCACAGTAGGACACAGGTTCCAGCTCATGGTCTTTGAGGTGAAAATATGGTCCTCCTCTTCCTCCCGCCTTCTTCTCCAGTTCAATGGACCCCTCCCACTGGCAGGGCCTCCGGGCTCCTGCCCCTTCACCCCCACAATCCCCCTGCCATCGACCCTGGAGTCGTCCTTAGCTGGCGTTGGGCTCCTACCTTTCTACATTTCTCTCTGCATACGAACCATGTGTGATGGTTAATTCAGTGTGTCAGTTGGCTGGGCCACAGTGCCCAGACACCTGGCCAAACACTATCCTCCGTGTTTCTGAGAAGACTAACATTTAAATCAAAGGACTTTGAATACAGCAGTGACCCTCCATAGTGTGGGTGGGCCTCACCCAACCAGCAAAAGGCCTTGAGAGAACAAAGACCAACCTCCCCTGAGCAAGGAGGATTCTGCCGGCTGCCTCTGGACACAGACGCAGCATGGCCCTGTCTCCAGCCTGCTGGCATCCCCTGCAGGTTTTGCAGGCTCCCACACAGGGAGGMCAATTCCTTAAAATAACCCTCTCCGTATGCTTTGTCCTGTTGGTTTTGTTTCTCTGGAGAACCCTGATTAGAGACACCCCATACTGGTGTCTCCCTCCCCCGAACACCTGCACCCCTCATCTTCCCCCAGAGACTGAGAAGATGCTGAGGCTGAGAGTGACCGCTGAGAAACAGCAACCTCAGCCTCTAGAGAGAAGAGCCCCCCTACCCCCAGGACACAGGTGGACACCCTCCCCAGCCAGTCCACCTAACACAGGCCAGGCCCACGGGGGATCCTGGGCGTGGCTTGGGAAACCACCCCTGTACAGACCCCAGGGCCAAGGCCCTGCTCTGCTGAAGGAATGTGGACTGTAAACTCTGGCAAAAACGAAATAAGACCCCGGCTTTCCAGGCAGCACAGTCCTAACCCAACAAGGGAGCCCCCCATCAGGGCCCTTAACTTCTACACACAAGATGGCGAACGGAACTGTCCTAGGACTCACTCTACAGGGAGAAACATTTTTGTTTTAAAAGGAGGAGTGAGGCGAGTTGAGTCATATAGGGTGTTTTTCAAACCCAGAGTCCCCCACCCCAACGCAGTGGCAGCAGTAGTGTGAAAACGTGGGGAGAGGCCTTTAAGTACAGACAGCAGAAGGCACGCAGCAAGCAAATCCCACGGCAGCTGCCATCCCAGGTCGAGGCTGGCAGAGACCCCAGCAGCCATCCCTCCAGAACAGGCCTCTGCTGTAGCCCTGGAGTTGTGTGGCCTCCGTGGGGAGACCCTCTGGGGCAATTGCTATAATGATGCTGTCCTCGCCACACGAGCCATGTGTTGTGTCAAGCCCTACAGAGTCTTATGTAGCCACCATTTACAGGACAGCACAGTGTCACTATCCAGTGTGCCTTCTGCTGACATGTGCTGCCTTTTGGGATTAAGAACACCAATCTAGGTGCCTCTTCCAAGAATGGCAAGAGTTTTTGCTTCCAGGGGCTGCTTAATTTCTATGTCAATTTACTTCTAAAAAATGTAGCTGCTTCCCCGTCTTCACCTTCCAGAAAAGCCTGTGTGCTCAKGCTCGCCCTGTGCCTCCAGCCAGACCCAGGATAAAAGCCTCCTGGAGACTGCTCTGGGCACCCCTCCTCTTCCAGCAATTCTCGCCAAGCTGCTCRGGGAAACAGCGATGCGCTGGGGCCGGGGCCAGGGCCTGCTACCTCTAGCTGAGGCCTGGGGTCTGTGCAGCATCCAGTGTTGAGTCTGCTGGCCCTCCAGGGCCCTCTGACAGAGCGTAACCTTTAGCAGCAGCCRTGGCAAGCCATCTGGCTCGGAGTTTGCAGCTATACCCTGGGAGGATTCCCCAGTGCTGCCAAGTCACAATCATTCTTTTCTGGACGCAGCAGCTGCTAAAGTGGGTCACCTTGCATTTCCATAGCATTTCCAGGGCTGGGGAAAAGGGAGCCTACTTTAGGTTAGGACTGGGGTCATCGTGAGGGGCTGGAGTCATCTGGAGAAGAGGGAGTGCCCAGGAGGATATGTGCGCAGGAAGTCAGCTTTACAGATAGTCTATTCTGTGGCTTTCCCATCCAGTMTAATACCTGGGGAAAGCAGGACAGGAGAGGTCCTTGGAAGTCACAGGCTTCTCCCTACACATATGTGAAGAACAGGATGCCTCAAGGAAGCCATGCTAAGTACCCCCTGGCCAGAGGAAAAGGCATAAAATGTGGAAACAAAAGGGTAACCTGTTGGGCACATCTTATCAGGATTTAGGGCCTCCTGAGCCCTTCTCCTAGGAGCCACAGTGACACAATGACACTAAACACAGAGGATCTGCTCCCAGTGACCAATATTCCTTGAAGGTCCTTATTCTTGTTTTTCTTTTTTAGTGGTGRTAGTGGGGATTGAACCCAGAAGCATTTTACCACAGCTACATCTCCAACCTTTTTATTTTATTTTTGAAACAGTATCTTGCTAAGTTGCTGAGGCCTTGAACTTGGGATCCTCCTGCCTCAGCCTCCCAAGTTGCTGGAATTACAGGCGTATGCCACAGCACCCAGCTGGTCCTTAGCCTCTACTAAGCAGGTTCAGCACCCTGTCAAAGAATACATGGTCCAGGGCTGGGATGGTAGCTCAGTGGTAGAACACTTGCCTGGCATCTGTGAGGCACTGGGTTMAATCCTCAGCACTGCATATAAATAAATGAATAAAACAAAGGTTCATCAATATCTTAAAAAATATATTTAAAAGAAAGAATACATGGCCCAGTTTCACTAGAGTCCTCACTCGCTCTGATGTCACATATAATGGAGACAGACCCAGCGTGCCCACCATGCYATTGAAGTCACATGCCTGGTGGTTCTGCTTAGCCTGGCAAGATCTGGCATGGCCCACAGGAGGTTCAGGAGCCCTGCCAGGGCTGGTACTGGGTGCTGGAGAACTCCTTGAGGTATGAGCAGTTCTATAAGATGCTCCATACACAAAACAGGCACCGTGATGGAGGTGGGGCGTGTTGCTCAGGGGACAGACACTTGTGTCTGAAAGTTCCAGAACCTGCTCTTCTTCCATCTGTTCATCCCACATGAGGTCCTGTTCATGGCTCCAGCATCATGAAATGAGGGAAAATACTCAAGTTTCTCCTCTAAGTACCCTGTATGCAACTGCCTGGTGGACATAGTCAGCAGAGGCTCTAGGACCTGTCCTCCCAAGCCTGACCCTGCACCTGGGCATCAACCTGGCTGGATCTCACCAAATGCCTGGATGCAAGTCAGACTCTGGGCCATGTCCTGAATGCCTTCCACCCCCAGGTAATCAAATGATTGGCAGTCAGAGCTAACAGTCTTCTGGCACTCACTGCATGCCAGGCTCTGTTGTAAGCACATTTTGTATTTTAGCTCATATACCCCTCATGATGACCCTCATAAAGACAGGCACTATCATAACCCCTTCTTAAGGAAACCAAGGAACAGAGACTTCCCCAAAGGCACACAGCTAATAAGGCAGAGCCAGAATTCAAACCTGGCTAGTCTGGTTCTGATGTTACCTCTTCTCTGCTGCCTTATTTAGCCGGCTCACTCTGGTTTTGGGGGATTTCTGTGAGGCTTGCACACTCTCCTCCCCTGTACCTCCCACCAGGATCATGGCAACAGCCTCCTGTCGGCCCTCGTCCACCAGATCCAACACATCCCTGCAGCCAGCATGCATTACTGAGATGCAAATAAGACCATGCTCTCCACCTGCTCAAAGTCCTTCAGTGGCTCCTGGATATTACAGGAGAATCCAAGTTGTTTATTAGGCCTGGCGGCCTCACTAATAGACTCTGTGAGCTCTCTGGCCTCCCCACCAGGCATCCCGAGGGTCCCTGCTCCAGCCTAGCTGAACTCCTGAGCATGGTGCTTCCGCTTGTGGCTTCTGCCCTTAGGATGTTCACCCCTGCCTCCCTCATCTGCCCAGTGAACATCTGGACCTCTTTCAGGTCCTGAGAAGCCACCTCTTCTCAGAACCTCACCTGTCCTTTCTAGGTGGGGTTACAGGTTTCCAGCTGGGCACGCACATTTTTCCTCCCTACACCATAGTCCACAGAGCAGAGCCTCTGTTTGGCAGTCTTTCTCCCTGGAGACCTTAACCTCCACGCCCCCAGGAGCACAGGTCATGGTCATTCATCTTTGTGTCTCAATTCATGACACTCTAAGCCCTCAGTAAAGGGGTGTTGACTGGCCAAATGATCCCTACAAGTGCCTGATGTAGAAAACACACACACAGAAGGGAGGAGGCTTCCCCACCACGGTCCTCCCAGGYCAGCCTGGCTCCAGCCCCACTCACCGGCTGCCCTGAGCAATGGTGGGCACGATGTCATGGTTGGCACGGAGGGGCTGGGTCCTGGCCTTCATGCGGGCACGATGCAGCAGATGTTTGGCTTCCTCATGCCTGGCGCTCAGCATGGGCTCCGGCTTGGGACCAAAGGTCCTGCAGGGTGACACATAGGCCAGGGCAGGCSGAGGAGGGATTAGAAGAAAATAACACAGATTAGGAGGGGTTTAACAGTGTCAAGCACCAGCTCAGCCAGAAAAAGCCCTGCATGTGCGCCTCTCCCTCCAGCTCCCACCCAGGGGGAACCCAGCCTGGGGCCTGGGGCCTGGGGCCTAGGGAATGGCCCTGAGCAGCTCCAGACGAGGGATGGGGAGTTGGCCCAGCCTTGCACATCTGCTCAGGGGCTGGAGGCAAAGACCCAGGAGGATCTAGAAAAGGGTAGGGGAGTCTCCAGATTATTCTATTGTTCCTTCCCTGGGCAGACAGCAGGAGCTGTCTGGGGGAGGAGGGAGGAAAGGACCTGGGGTTGGGGGCTGGGCCTGTGCCCAGACAGATGGTCCTGACATGCACCACCTCCTGTCTCCTCTTGGCCTCGGTGCACACATGCACACCCACTCAAGCACACACAGCTCCGCCAGCTCCCACCGCAGACGCRGGACTCAGGCATCGCCCATCCCAGTTCTGGTCCTTTGGGGTAGTGACATTTTCACAAATCCTGCTATTTCCTTGCCTTCAACCTGATTCAAACCTGCACCACATCAGCCCAGGGCTCACAGGCTCCGAGCTGAGAGGGGTTCGGCTGGACTCAGACCAAGTCGGCAAATGGCTCCGTTTCCATAATAATAAGGGTCCTCTGGCAGCACAACCTACCAGATGTGCTGCTGCCCGGGCCAGTCCAGAGCTGCAGAAATGACAGCTGCCCTTTTCCAAAGCTGTCTCCCAGGYGGTGACATACCACCTGTGCTGGGTGACAGCAGTAACCGCAGCCCCTAGCCTCCTCCTGATAAGACTGTTTTCTCTGCAAAGCCCATTCCCCCAGGCAGGCTGGCCAAGGGCAGGTGTTCTCCCTGCTTGACAGATGAGGGTGTCCAGCACAGAGAGGACGCTGGCACATTGCTCAAGGTCGAGCATCCACTGAGAGCAAGCAGAGCAGAACAGAGGACAGCAGCCCCACTGCCTCCCGCGTCCTTCCTGCATCCTGTCCTCTCCCCTCCTTGAGTCCCCGGAGAGGTGGAGGATGTTTGTGGCTGAAGTCGGACACACTCTTTGATGTTAATTTCAGTGTTCTGTCACATATGCCCGGCTGTCCTCACAGGGAGGGGTTCACAGAGCAAGAACTCAGGCAGCTGGAGGCTCAGACAGGCCTGCGGCCCACACACCCGCCCCATATGCCATGTGGGTAAAGGGTCCTGGTCCTGACTGAGGGATGGAACCAGGCAGTTTCCTGATGACAGACGTGTGGGAACAAAGGCACGACTCTGGCCTCCAGGGAGAGGTGCTGCTCAGGCCATTCTTGGCAAGCTCAGGCAGACCACGAATTTCTTTTTCTTCTCTTCTCTCTCTCTTTTTTTTTTTTTTTTTTTTTTTTTTTTTTTTTTTTTTTTTTTGCATCTAACCCTGCTTTGGGGCCGTAGGGGGAGAGAATGGTGGCACAAAGGCACTGTCAGTGCTTGAGAACCCCGGCGGGGCCCAGGCACTGCTTCGGAAGGAGGAGGGCGGCACAGAAGCGATGTGAAAGTAAATCTCCAGGCCCGCTGCCCCAGGAGGCTTCCTTTGGCAGGAGAGGCCTCCCCTGCGCAGCTTCCAGAACAGGCGGCTGCTCCTCCATCGCGGCTGAGAGCAGCTGTGCTCCCTGGGGCTCCTGCTCCGCGGCAGAGATAATGAGGCTACCAGCCCGGAGAGGTGCCCCTGCAGCCGCGGGCCTCTGGCTGCCCGCCCGCACACTGGGAACCTTCCGGTGACAGCTGTGGTTCCCCGGCTGTCGGAGGGCATTTGTCACAAGGTCTGGTGGGCAGGCAGGAGGGCCCCTCGGCAGCTGGCCAGATGCTGCCGGGATCAGCCTGGCCCCCAGGTTTTTAAGCCATTTTCCAGCTTTGCTGTTTCCGTGCTGCTCCTCCATTTGAAGCTGGGTTCGCCCACCCCGCCCCCCTCAGCTGCTCGGCTGCAGTGTCTGGCAGACAAAGCTGGCTTCTCCACTGATTAGAAAAGCAGGCTTTCTAGGCGCCCGGAGGCATCATGCAGTAACACACTGAGCAGGGAGAGAGCGGCAGCCACCTTCACACTGAAGCCAAGGTCAGCAGAGCAGGCAACTCCCAGCCACCGTGCACCCTGGTGAGAGATCTGGTCTTCATCTGAGAAGCAGGGAGCAAGTGGGTGTGGTGTTTGGGGTGCTGAGCCTGTCCCTAACTGCCCACCTCCCACCATCACATCAAAGGAACACCAACCCTGCAGGAAGCCACATTCAGTCCTCCATTTTCTGACCCTGGCCTCTGCCCAGGGCACACAGCTGCCAAGCCAAACCCTTCTATTATGGACTATAGGAAACAATCAATCCCAGYTCTCACAGTTCCCCTGGCAATATCCTGAAGAGTGGGGCAGTCACAGTGCGTCCAGGCAAAGTCAACTCCCACCCAAGAATAGGCAGCTTTTGTTGCTGTCTTATAAGAGCCGAGACTTCTGAGCTCATTAGCTCTGCATAGGGCATGGGAACAGGTGGCTGAGAGTTGTTCTTCCCCGGGCCTCAGTTTTCCCTCTGTAACCAAGGGGATTAGAGATGGGAGGGGGCGCTCACTGCAAGCCTGTGAGTCTGGATCTTTGACCTTGTTGCCTATGGTTTGTGGTGGGAGGATCCTCTTCTGGGGTGCTCACGCCACAGAGTTTGGGCCCTCATGGAGCAGCAAGTCTACAAAGAGCTAATTGCGGGGGGAAAACTGGAGTTCCTCCAGTGTCCAGAGCCCTCCCTCTGCCCTCCTGTGTCTCCAGGACAAGGGCAGCATGTCTCCCCAGCTCTGGTTTCTGGTCTAGGCCAGGTTCCTGGAGGGACAGGCTTAGCCCTGCCTTTACCTCCCCTTGCAGCCAGGCAGGCAGGAGAACCACCACTCCTCTCCCAGCCAAAGAGGTCAAGGGGACAGAGCAGCCTTTTTCTATAGCCACCATAATCCTGGATTAAAATAAGAAGTTCCAGTGAGTCTGGGTTTAACCCTTCCATCTCAGGCATGTGAATCTGGAAATAATAGGAACTAGAAAGAGCACAAACTTCCCAGATTCCAGGGTGCAGCCAGTTCATGTATGCACAGACAGAGATCAACATTTTTCTTGGTGTGTGTTCCACTTTTGTATATTTTAAAGCTTTTGATGACCAAGGACAGAGCTTTCCTACTGTCATTTTGTGCAAGATGATCAGGTGTGCAGCAAATGGATTCGGGATGGCATGCTCCATAAGACCAGGGTCCTTGTCTTGAACTCACAATGTCATGCTTAGTGGCACAGGTGACTTCCTCCCAGGTATGCAGGACCCTGACAGAACAGAGCCTAGAGTAGTGATTGAGAGTGTGGCCCAGGGGTAACTGCCTGAGTGCCAAGCTCTGGACGATTACCCCCTACCTGTGCCACCCTGGCAGGCAACTTCAGGCGAAGCCCCACTTTGCTCACTTGCTAAATAAGGGCTCAGCTATGAAGACCATCACTTTTAACCCTAGCACCATTGTTTATAGATGGCTCTCACCCCTCCCTAAGCAATGGAATCCCTGAACATGAACTAAAGTCACCTGCCACCAAGATCACCTGCAGAGGAAAGGCATGTGTGGAAGAAACAGACATCTTGCAGCTGGAGAGGGCATTGTGGTTTTGCTCTGGATCTTCGAAAGCCTTTGACAGAGCAGCTTGGAAAGGTGATGTCTATGCAACAGRGAACAGGGGAAGTCAGAAGCTGCAGAAGGACCCCGGTGCCCAGAGGGGAAAGCTCTTCTCTCAACACAGAAGCGAGAGTGGATCCTCAAGATAGGCTGCTGGACAGAGCCACTTCATTTAGCATCTTTTTGAGACCTTGGTGGAGGCCTGCACTATTTCCTTAAGACTGTCACTTCTGGGGAGAGCAGAGCGGCCCTGCTCACTGTCCTGAAAGAGGCCAACGAATTCCAGGGCGCCCCTGCAGCCACACTGCCTGGGCTCAGGGTATGGGACATACAAGGCCCAGGTATCTGAGACACACCCCCTGCTGGGCTCTGGAAGGCCAGGGGAGGGGCTTCATTTTCTTGGATTTCAGCCTTGCTGCCCACCAGATGAGCGGCCTTAGGTAAATGAACTTCTTCTGGTAAAGATCGGCTTTGATGTGTGTGTGTGGTGAGCACGTGGCAGGCCAGCATCTGAGCATTCCAGGTGGCGCTGGCCTTGTACGGGGCTCCAGGGTCAGCTTCCCTGACCGCAGAGGCTCCAGAGTACCAGACACCAAGGCAGCAGGTTTTGTAGTAGAAACTGTTGAGCTGTTAAGCCTAATTATTTTTCTTTTTTGTTTTARTCTTGGTGGGACTGGATGGTAATGGATTCTCCTTTGTGCCAACCTGTCTGAGACCATGGGGCAGCACAGGAATGGCTGGGGGCTATGTAAGCAGGACAGGGAGGGCTCAGCCACTCTTTTAGTGACACCCTTGCCCTGGGGGGTCCTTAGTTATACCAGGAATCCTGGGGTAGGGCAGGAGTGTCTCTTCTCCCATGCTCACCCCAGGACTCATTATGACTCCCTGATACTAGGGCCTGGAAGATCTGGAACCTGACTAGTGCCTCAGAATGATCTCCAAACCCCCTCACCAGGCTCCCTGACACAGCACCAGACCCCAGGACACTGGGTCAGCCCACGCTCCAGGAGCTAAGATCACCCTGCTACTGGGGGGTGGGGGGGCGACATGAGCAAGATCCTTAAATGTCTCTACATTCCGATTAAAATAAAAATCCCAMGGGTTCTCCATAAGTGGCCTCCACCCTACATCCTAATAGGGTCATCCACCACACATTCCACCTCAGACGCTCCCAGGCATTTCTGCAGGCCTCACCCGTCTGGAATGTCCTCTCCTGTTTCCACCCAGACCCTCGCAAGCCCACACAGGTCCAGCCCTCAGTGAGGCCTCACTCACTCCTTCCTGCCTGCCTCTGCCAGTTTTCTGAGCCTCCGTGCTGTAAGCAGCACAGTTCCTGCCCCCAGGAGCTCCAGGAGGAGAGTAAGAGCTACGGCTGCAGCGATGCAGGCAGTGGGCAGTGAGAGCAAAACACGGGCAGTTCCACCTGGGATCACACTGACATGCACACACAGTGCTCCACTCAAACAAGAGTCTCTGTGATATTATGATATACGAAATATACATTGGGTCATTGCCTCCGGTTCCCAGTACACAGCTCCTACAACCCTTGGAATCTCCAGAGTAATCAACTCGACTTTTGCAGGCAGAGGGCTTCCAAACAGAGACCTAGGCAGGATTAGAAGGTTGGGACTTGCAGCTCCACCTCCATGTCCCCAGGAGGGAAAGGGTGAGGGAGAGAAGGCTGAGCCAATCATAGTCAGCCAGTGATGTGATCAAGCCTGCCTACACGCTGAAGCCTCCATCAAACCCCAAAAGGACAAGGTTTGGAAAACTTCCGGACAGCTGAACGCACAGAGGTTCCTGGCAGGTGGTGCACCCAGAGGGGGTGAAAGTAAGGCGCCTCTTCCCACATACACACCTGGTCCTGCGCCTCTCTTCCAAAGATACTCATCTCTTCCCGTGGGGAGGGGAGGTGGGCACCTAGGAATTCTTCCCCTCCAGCACTCTAGCAGGAAAACAGCCCGACCCAGAGCTGCCTCCTCCCCACCTCCCCCTGGGCAGATCAATCATTAGAGCCCCTGCAGACTCTCTCTCTCTCTCTCTTACACACACACACACACACACACACACACGGTCCAGACTTGAACCAGGGCAGCCTGGGCATGCAGCATGCCTCTCAGTGGAGACTGCCTGCTGGGGAGGCCCCCCCCCCCCCCCCCCCCCCCCCCCCCCCCCCCCCCCCCCCCCCCCCCCCCCCCAGGCACTTGCATCAGCCAGACGCTCTGTGGCCTGGGGTCTGAAGCCAGCCCTGCATGGACTGCTGCTCCTCTGGTTTCACCGATTCCATTCCTGCTGATTCATGTGGGATCCTCAGGCACTCTGTAATCCCAGTGTGTCTCTCAGAGCCTCCGGGAAGGGACAGATGGAGATGGCTGTGGCCATTTTATAGAGAAGAACATTTTGGATCTAAGCCCTTGGATGCAAGTGACAGCACAGCCATCGGCTGCCAGGTGTGGATGATGGCAGAGGCTCCCCAAGCACAGCACCCATTCCCTGTTCTCCCACCTCTCTCCAGTGAGCCCTTTACACTCTCTGAGGCCCCAAGTCTCCCTGCATCCTCTCCCTCCCATCAAGACTCCAAGCCTGAACACCTCAGTGACACTCAGGAGACAACAAGCTTATTCCACGGAGACTCCTATACCTCAGTGCCCACACCCGAGGAGATTCAGGCTGGGGGACACACAAGATCCCCAGACCCCTAGCCCCAGGATGGCCTGTGGAGGGATGGGAAGGACAGTTGGTGGCCCTGAAACGTCGTGGTCTCTGTCAGTGACCCAGGAGCAGCACAAGGTCTGTCATTGGGATAAAGTGGAAGTGCAGGAACTTAGCACAGCACCTGTGCATAAGGCTGGAGAAGAGCAGCTGTGGGCCTGGCCTTTGGACTGGCCCCTGGGATGGTCCAGTCCTCTGGGGCTGAGCCTTCTCTTGCTTCCTAGTAGAACAGGACAACACTGAAGTTGGGGATGGAGGTCTCCTCCGCATCTGACCCTTTGCATTGAAGATTCTGGATCTTTGGATGGCTCATCTCAGCGGCTGATTCCCTAGGACTACCTCCCAGCAAACAGGGCCAGCCCACACCCCAAGTGCTAATTTGGGCTCTGTAGTCACCCTCATTTCATGAGCTTCTTGTCCCATTACCTTATAGAGCAGTAGGAAGTATGGACATAATGAAGTCCGTGGTGGGTTGCCTGGTCGTAATGGCTCTCTGGGTGGAGCAAGAAGCTGCAAGAATGTGGAGCTTGAGGAGGTGTGAGGAGGGCTGCTTATTCCTCAACCCTGAGAAGAGCTGAGGCTCTCACTCCTCCCTGAAAAGGCCCTGCCTTTTGCATGTCCCTGAATGTCCAGGACAATCAGCCATTCTCAGAGCACTTCTCTGCCAGGGGTCCTACACCACTTAGTATGGACACGAAGTCCAGGACCCTGACCTGGTGGTCCTCCAGGGTACAGAGCTGAGGGAAGCATGCCTTACCTCAAAGATCTCTTGTGAAGTCTGGCTCTACAGAAGTGATACCAGCAAACCACTTAAGGGGGAGACGGAGCCCTGTGGTGTCTTGGGGACACTTTCATGTCCACCCAGAAGGCTCAAGAATGGAGCCAGATATGGAGCCTCTCAGAGGGTCTGCCATGACATGACAGGACTTCTCCCTCCCTGAATCTGGCCATGTTTCCTGGCCCTTCAGCCTGGGTATCTGCCTAGGGGGAACGTGACTCTCATGCCAACTCTGTGTCCCTCTCTGCTAGGCATTTTTTTAAAAAAATATTTATTTTTTAGTTTTAAGTGGACACAACATCTTTATTTTACACTTATGTGGTGCTGAGGATCGAACCCAGTGCCTCACCCACACTAGGCGAGTGCTGTGCCTCTGAGCTACAACCCCAGCCCCTCTGCTAGGCATTTTAAGGGGATATTTTGTTAGTGTTGGAATGGGTCCTAAAGTTCACTAAGTCACCTCTCCTCCCCGATCCCTGACACACTTGCACCACCCATCATACACACACACACACACACACACACACACACACACAAATCATGCAATACACATGTGCACAACCCTACGCAAACTCTAAAATGCAGCCCGTGGCTGCAGATGGCCTGGAAGGTTAGACATAGTCGGGAGCCCCCGACCTGAGGGGTCTAAACCAACACCACCTCCTCACAGGCCTGAGGGAAAGTCCCTCCCTACAGGGTCAAGGTCCTCCTTTAAAAGGAGAGGACTTTAGTAGCTGTGATCCAACGTGAAAGTCAGGAGCCCTGGCTTCTCTTTTCAACAGTCACCTCTGAGTGAAACTCCAGTGGCTGCACCTTTGCACCTTCCCCAGGGACTTTCTCCATCAAGGGCGGCGGGTGGGGGTGGGAGGGGCCGGGGTGCCACCTCCGCGGGACCCAGGTGCACCTGCCCAGGTCACCTCCTCTGAGGGCTCCACGGGGAAGGTGGGGCGGGGACAGAAGGAGGGCGGGGGAGTAGAGCATCCCCGAGGACCACAGTCCTTCCTGCAGTCACACTCCTCATGGCTGGCAGGGTCAGGTCAGGAGGAGACAAGAGGCTGACAACAATAGCCTCAGAGGTGGGAGAAGACTGAGAGGCCAGACATCCCTCACTCCACCAGACCCTTCAGCAAGCAGAAGCCAAATCACCTGACTGGGCAGCCCCTGCTTTGTTACAGCAGAGTGCAGGACCAGGGGCTGCTCTGGTCCCCCCAACTTCGTATGTTGAATCCTAATCCCCAGTGTGATGTGATTAGGGAGGGAGGCCTTTGGGAGACRATTAGTGCCCTTGTAAAGGGGCCCCAGAGAGCATTCTGGCCTCCTTCTGCCATGTGAAAATATAGTGAGAAAGTGACATCTATGAGCCAGGAGACCTGCCTTCACCAGATACAGAATCTGTTGGCTCTTTGATCTTGGACTTCTGCCTGTGAGATACACATTTCTGTTGTTGTAAGCCACACAGCTGATGGCATTTTGTTACAGTGACCCAAATGGACTAAGACATTTGGACTAAGACAAATGGACTAAGAGAGGCCCTGCCCACATTTTCTGAAGGGCTGGTCAAACTAACAGAACTCATGCAGGGAGCGGCCGCTCGTGGGGCAGCAACAATGCTGACCTCTGCCCTCGGCAGAAACCACAAGACCCTGGAGAGGCTGACATCACTGTGCAGCTGGGGAAAAGGGAGCTGTTCCCAGCCCCACGGCCTCTCTTAGCCTCATGTGCCAAGAGTCCAGCAAAGATGGAGGCTGAGGCCAACCTCTGCACAGGCACAGCAGCAGCTCAGGCCTTCGGTGGCCCCTGCCACACTTTGTGCACACTCTTCTCTCCCTGCCTGGCTCAGGACACTGCCTGTGAAGGACGGGTGTCCCCAATTTCCCCATCACACTCCAGCACATCCAGATCCACAGAACACTGGTGGAGAGGCTAGGAAAAAAAGTCTGTAGACATCATAGTGAGGTTGGAGGTGAAGACTGACCCCAGCACATGCCCTTGATTAGGAAAAGAACAGGTGGAGTGAAAGCTTCGCATTCATGTACTTTCCCTACGACTGCCACAGCCATTATCGCATTTTTTAGTCTCACCATAACCCTGTGAAGTAACCCAACAACTACAATTCTCCCATTTCACTGATAAAGAGACAGGCCTGGGCAGGGGAAATGGCCCCAGGACACACAGCAGGCGAAGCTCTTTGCACACCTCTGTGCCTGGTGGTTTTGCCTAACTAGCAGGTAGGCAGCAGCCTGGGGAACTGGGAGCAACTGACACTTTTTATGGGGTCTCAGGGCTGATGATCCAGGGGCCCACTGTCCACCAGCATGGGGTTTGCTGGGGTTTGCTGTCTGGCTTTGCACAGTCTCCTAGTGTCCTGGTGCAGAGGAAATGGAGGGACAACAGTGAAGAAGGAAGGAGAGAAAATGCAGGCTCTGAACTCTTACCTGTTCTGGTCTGAGTCCTGCAGAGAGATGCCCGAGTCCCGGTCCACATCCCCTGAGGGTCGCTCTAGGGCCCAGAATAGAAGCAGAGATGAGAGAACAGAAGCAGAAATGGGGCTCTCAGCTGCCTCTAACTGACACCAAGGAGAGAGATTTCTCCAGTAATTTACCCCCAGATAAACCCAACAGCATGCCTGTGTCTCAGTCAAAGAAATGCAGGCACAGTCTGTCATGATGACTGTAGGTAGGCATGGTGTGGGCTGAGAGGACCACATGTGCCCTCAGGTGGGGGTGACACATGAGCTTATGAAGAAGGTGTCTGCTGGGTCAGAACCCTAGCACCTCCCTGCAGCTCCACTGCAGGAGCTGGGCCCAGCGGGTAGGACGCTCAGCCTCTTTGCTGGGAAGGTCTTCTACCACCTGGGAACACAGGGAGAATCTGACGTCTATGGTTCTTTGATCTTGGACTCCCAGCCTCCAGAACTGTGAGATACACATTTCTGCTTGCCCCAGAGGGTGATGTGGTCCACCAGGGGGTAAGGCATGTCACTGGAGCAAGTTCAAAAGGCCACCATGGGAAGGGGTAAAGACACAGGAAAGAAGTTATAGTAGCTTCTACCCCTAAGCCCAGAGGGTGGCTTCTCATTGATCTGGAGGGTCAGGGGGGGTTTTACCAGGCAGGGCTGCCTGTGAGCTGGTAAAGAACCTATGTCAAGGGCTGTGGCTCACTGGGAGAGTGCTTGTCTAGCATATGTGAGGCACTGGATTTGATCCTCAGCACCATATAAAAAATAAACAAATAAAATAAAGGCAGCCTGTCCATCTACAACTACCAAAAAATTTTTAAAAAGAAAAAAAAAAAAAGAACCTATGTCAAAGCCAAGAGGACATTGATGATTTTGGTGACAGACAACTGTGCTCTCCTTCCTTCTCTGCTCCCAACCAAGCACCCCTTCCTTTTCCCTCTCACTGGACTCCCTTCGGCTGCCCCACCCAGACCTGCAGAATGAGCCTCACCTGGTGCAGCTGTATCCCAGGACGGAGTCCAGGCTGGAGTCTCCACCTTGGGAGGGCTCTGTCCTGAGACCTTCAGCATCTCCTGCAGCAGCAGGCGATTCCTTTCGACTCGGTCAGACAGGGACAAGACACTGCCCCCAGTGCCCAGAGCCTCCAGGGCTCCAGGTCTCCAGAGCCCTGGCAGCAGGGCTGCCCTGGGGACAAAGTTCTCCTCAGAGGTCAGAGGAGTGCTGTCCAAGTCTCCCACTTCGACCAGACCATCTTGAAGGGCACATGGCCTTCCTTTCTTCAGGCTGGGCATGTGGGTGACTTTACAAGGACCAGGCCCCCCCAGGTGGCCAGGAGTAATTCTATGGGAGAGGCTCTCTTGCAAAGAGCCAGGCTCTGGTAGCAGACCCTTCTCACCATCAGGCAACATCCATGATGCTTCTGGAGACCACGGGCTCTGCCCATTCCAGCACTCCAGCCCAAGGGCAGGTGACCAGGGAGGCCTGGAGCCCCCATTTCTGGAGGGTTCCCCCTCATTGACACTGCGGTCCAGGGGCTCATTGGATGGGTTCTGAGCATGAGAGGCCACCATGCCCTCTGGTTGGGAACAGCCCTCTGGTGGGGCCTGAATCCCTCCAGCTTTGACTCGTCGGCATTTGGGTTTTTGGGGGGATGACTGTTCATGGGAGGTGGGGCCGGAGCTGGCCCCTTGTTTACTTGCTGTCATCTTCTCCTTCAAAGCCCTCACCTTGGACTCCAGCACAGAGGGGCCTTGGACCCGCACCCTCCATGTGCTGGGAGGCTTGGGGGCCATCAGGCTGGGTGTTCTGTCTTCCCGAGAGTTAGGCCAGGGTCTCAGGAGAGGTCCATTGTCTGGTTGTGGCTCAGGACCATTTCTCTCCACAGCCGAGGTCTCCTGCATGGCGTTGGCCGTTCTGCTTCCTGTGTTGGACCCTCTGGAGGAGAAAATAGACAGAGAGCCTGAGATTCAGCACCAGGATGGCTCCAACACACCCTCCCCCCAGTGTGTTGTCTAGAGTCCTATCCACACCAAGTAAGCTGGAGTCAGAGCAGGGTGGCCTCTGGACACTGTGAGAGCACTTTGAAAAGTGTAAATCATGGGAGGGTGAGTGAACTTTTACTTTCAACTCTGAGTAGTATTCTAGTATTTCTATCCCCATTCTACAAGTGGACATAATGAAGCTTCAAGCAGCAATTAACCCTATGCCGAATGTGGACCAGAGGGAAACCCAGGATGAGTCCCCAATCCCTGGCCTTCCTGCTTCACTGAAAGGTAGCCTCAGTGGGCATGTGGTGACTTTACACGGACCAGGACCCCCAGGCGGCCAGGAGTAATTCCATTAGCCAACATGCTCTTCCTTGTGGTTGAGGAAGCTCAGGGAGATGACAGGCTGGAGTTGCCTTTCAAACCACCCACCCGCAAGCCTCAGACCACAGCATGGGATTGATGAGGCTGTGCTCAAAGGGAAACCTTGATCAACCTTGAACTCCTATGGGGGCATCTGCCCTATGCTAGGCAGAATCCTTTGGAGTGCTTTCCACAGCACTCTCTCAAATAATTTGGACAGAATGCTGCCAGAATGATGTCATGACCCTCACTTGTACAGAGGGGGGAAACTGAGGCACAGATCACATCACACATGTGTTAAGAGGGGCCTGCCCAGTTTGGAATGCAAAAGTTTCTCATTCCAAGCCCAGGACTCTTCAAAAACACTTAGTGATCACAAGACCTCCTCCAGTTATTCTGCAGATGAGACCGTTCAGTCTACAAAGGTTAAGTGAGTTGCCGGCATTACACTGCTCCTCAGTGGCATGGCTAATGTTAACTGCTTCACAGGGAAAGAAAACATGCACCAGGATTTTATTCAAAGTGTTACCTGTGTGCATACATGCCACGAAGTCTTACTAGTTGCTCTGCTCTCTAGGAAAATGCTACTCAACATACATCTACATGTGTCCCACTTGAAGTAAACTTCATTTATGAAAATCCCTATGYGCATAAACTACAAATTAGGAGGAAATTATTCCCTTCACACATGGACTAAAAATTCACCACAAAATACTCTGAAGTAGCGATTCCCTCTATAGTTGCTTATTACAATTCAGCATATATACAACGTCTCAGGAATGTGTGTTTTGTACAGCAAAAGACACATATAATGCAAACTCTCGTATTATTTTTAAGCCAGTGAAGTTTGGGGACGGTCTTTAGGACAGAAACCATTTGCTGTACCGGTTAATCTAGAATGCTTCTCTTTCCGGCCCARCCACCTCTTCCTCTCTTCTATGAGTCAATCCAGAAAACGGGATTAGAGTCTAATACAAGCAGTTTCGGTTAAATTAAAAGAACTTTCGAAGAGCCTTCCAGAGGCTCCTTGTCGGGAGACTAGGCTTAAAGAAGGGGCCCTMGCCATGAGGCACCTGGGCAGCCTTCCGAGAAGACGGTTCTGCCGCAGCCGTCTGATTCTATGACCCAAGCCTTGCATTTGCTCTAACTCAGAGAAGCTTAAATGGAGATGGACGTGAAGGGCCTCGGTTCGCGCTCGGTGGCGGCGGCGGCCGGGTCCCCACTCGGCGGCCCCCCGCCCCTCCCGCGCCTCACCTCTCCATACTCACTGAGGGCTGCCGCTGGCAGGTCTGGCCGCCGCCGCCTCCATCCCCTCCATCCCTCGGAGAGGCGAGGCCCTCCTCAGCCCTCTCTCCCTCCCAGGCCCGCTGCAGAACTCGGGGAGGGACTTCCAGCCCCGAATCCGAGCGGCGGGCGGGAGCGCGGCCCGCAGGCCTCGCCCCTCGGGGCGCGCACGACCCGGGGCCCCGGAGGACGAGGCCGGGCCTCTCCCGGGCTCCGCGGGAGCCCSGGGCCGGGTGGATGGGGCCGGAGCAGCCGCCCCGCGGGCCGCGGCCTGGGTCCAGGACGGGTCGGGCGGCGGCGGGCGCGGGCGGGGAAGGAAGCGCACCGGCCGCTAGTTCGTGGCTTCGCCTTGGAGGGGAAGGAGGCCAGGCCGGCGCCCGCCCRGCCGGGAAGAGAAGAGGGAGCAGGAGGGCAGAGAGGAGGGGCAGCGGAAGGGGCTGGAGGAGCCGGGACCTCGGCCTCCCCACCCCCAGCCGTCCCGGCCCCGGGCTCCGGCCAGGCCCCGGGAGCGCTGCTCCGCGCCGCGGGCCACAGCGCGGGCCTCCCGCACGTCAAGGGGGCGGAGGACACCGAGGGTGGCGCCCCGAGTTTGGGGACCATGGGGCCGGGCGCTCGGAGGGCCGCAGGGCCAGGGCACCCGACCGGACCCCTGCTCGGAGGGAACAGCGGTCCCGAGCCGGAGGCGCGCTCGGGGCGCTGGGTCCCCCAGCGCGAGGCTGGGGACGCGGCTCGACGCGGGCCGGAGCGGAGGAGCCACACGCTCCTGCACTCCGCAGCCGCCTGTAACTCTACACCAGGCTCTGCGCCGGGTGGACGCCGAGGAATGSCTTTTGTGTAGACAACTTTTTGGCTGACCTCTCGGTGGGGCCATCTCCGTGGTCTTAGGGCGCCCTTTCCTCCGAGGTCAAGGTCATTGTCTCCCGCCTTGTAGAGGAGCTAGAGTAACCCGCTGGGGACGTGGGTTCGCTGGTCCGGTCTGCCAAGGCGAGAACTGGTACCTGCGTTGCCCGCTGCTTTGGGCGGGGATCGGTTCTCAGGATCCTGGGGACTCGTGAACAGACTTGTCACTTTCTCCATACCTGGGAGAAAGGAGCAGCAAAGGACTTAGCCTACAACTGTGATCCAAACTTGCGATGGACTTCTTTCTCTCTCCTGGAAGGAGGTGACCGAGTCTAAACTATTACTGGACCTATTTTTCCACAGAAGACAGAAACAGTAAGAGAGGATCCAGGAGATTCCAGAAATCTCTACAAAAAAGAAAGTGTTCCTTCATCCATCTTTCCTTTTCGTAAAAAGCTTCACTCTCAGGAATGGAGTACTTGAACCTGTGAACTGAGTCACCTCTCAATGGCAGGTATAGCAACAGGAAAGGCCATGGCAGTGTCAAGTGCATGAGCAGAGCATGGAAGGGGAGGTTCCCAGAGGGGCTGGCCTCRGGTAAGGAGGATTTCCCTGCAGAAGGTGGGGAGGGGCAGCTGGGCAGGCAGAGGCACCCAGGGCTGACAGCACCATTGGGGAACTGCCAGTAGTTTACAGTTACTTGGCCTGRGGCCAATTTAGGAACCTAAGAGATTATCCAGGGTAAACCCTCTATGTAAAGGAACAGAGCCAGGGTCACATAGCTCTGTTATGGGTAGTCTTCAGGGTCTGTGACCACTTCCTCCATGTTTCTAGAGCTAGTGGTTCCTCAAACTGGGCATTTACTGCTCTGTTTATTAGTATTGATCCCATCACAATATAGTTATGGTACCATCTGTGGATGGTGTACCTTGCACCAAATGTATGGCTAAGCATTTTAATCCCATTGCAATCTTAAGTACTGTGGTCTCCCTTTCTTTAGATAAGGAAACTGAGTCTAGTTGAGTGTCCAAGGACATAGGACCAGTAAGTGGCAGGTCTTCTAGAGTTCAAAACCTTCAGACAACACACTGCACAGCACTGTCACCAGTATCCACAAGTTCAACATGGAAAGACAGAGTTTAAAAAAAAATCAAAGAATTTGTGAAAAAAAACATGAAGGGTTGTGATTCTAAAAACATGCTGCCCAGTGCTCTGGCCCGTCCTTTCTGGATTCTTTGATTTTTCCTTATTCTTGTAGTCCAGTGGTCAAATCCTGCACACCACACGAGACCCCTTCTTTTCTTCTACAGGCAATGTCAAACCTAACAACATTGCTGTTACTATTACTGGGAACCTCCTATAAGTGAAGGCACTTCATAGAGGTTCTTCTAAATCTTTACAACAACCCTGTAAAATAAGAGTAATGGGTCTCCATTTTAGGGATAAGGAAACCTGGGACACAGAGAGATTGAGGGACTTACCCAAATCCACACAGCTAACAGAGAGAGAATCTGGACCCAGTTTTGCCTGCTTCCAAGATTTTCAGAGAGGCTTCTCTGAACTCAGACTCCAAAAGGTAATTTCTCCATGACCCCTGCTCCCACCCTCCCCTAGAAGTTAATGATCTGTAAGGAATTTCTGAAAATTCCAGCGAAGGTTTAATGTTTAAAGGAAACCTGCCCCCCCCCACCTTTGGGGATGCAAATAATCACCTTTGGTTTACTCATTAAATTTGTTATTTTGCAAGGAGAGGGATGGGGTATCACATCTATTCAGAGGCTATAAAAGTCACCCCTCCTAAAGATACCAATAAGCTTTGTAGGATGCTATCAGATTATCATGGCATCCACATTCAGAGGGCATTTCTGATTCATCTGTATTCTGCTTGGTTCAGCAGACATTTGTCGAACTCCTCCTGTGTCAGGGACTGGGGAACAACATGTAGCACCACAGATCCTGCCCTGGAATTCTGGTCAAATTGAGCAAGGCAGGGGCAGGGGCAGAGTAAGTGTAAGTGCTCCCACCYGGGTTAGCAAAGGGTGGCACAGGTAACTCTCAGGAACAGCTAGATTGAGGTGGGAAGGGTATGCTGGGTGGGATGGAGGTCAGGGAGAACTGGGTCTCAATGAGCAGATAGAGGGAAAGAGAGGGGTGGGAGAAGGCATTTCAAGCAGAGATTAGCATGTGCACCAACATGGAGGTATGCAGGCCTGATAAAAATGAAACCAGAAAATGCCCAGAAAGGACAGCATGAGACTGCGGGGCAGGGCTGGTGTGGGCCTGGTTGAGGCCTCAGGGACTCTTCAGGTTGAGAAGCTTGGTCTCCAGAGTCCTGTGAAGTGGGAGCCCTGGAGGGTGGTCTAGTCCACCCCCTCGCCTTAAGCTTGGTGCACTCTGGGCTGGGGCTGCTTATTTCCTTGTAGATCAGACTGTTTTGTTACTATCTTTTGGAGAGAAATCTAGAAGAAAAAACACATGGCAAATAGTGACCCTGTGCCCTCTTCCTTCATCTGAATGATCAGGGAAGGCCACCATCCCGAGAAGCCTCAGATAAAGCACAGCCTCCCCTCCTCCCCGCCTCCCCCAACATGCCTTGAACACTCAGCCTGAGCCAAGAGAAGCAGTGTAGCCRGTGAATTCAGGCCCCACATAGGATGAAGGGAGAGATGAGAGAGATGGCCTTCGAGGKCATGCAGTAAGGGCCCAGATGGGGTAGGAATGGGGTGGCAGGGACATCTCTGCCATGCCTCTACTGTACAGCATAAAGGAGTTTGTCCAACAGAAAACCCGAGTTTCACCGTCACTCACCTTAGCCATGGGCACGTGTTGCCATGAGAACAAGAAGGCTGGGCAGCCATTATTCACGGCTCCAGGGCCTTCAGCAGCCCCCATTAAGAGAAGTCAGGGCGGGTCAACCATGCACCTGCTTTGTCCCTGCTTGAAACCCTCCCTGGGCTCCCTCAGAATTCCAGGCTGGAGACTGCCCAGTTCCTGTGTATACTCTCTGGGGTGCTGCTTAAGGCTGATCCCAAGGTCTCACTCATGGAGATTCCAGTTCTGTAGGGTGGAGGAAAGCCCAGGAATCTGTTTTCCAATAAGCGTGCCAGGTGATTTGGAGGCCGTTAGTTTGGGGAGGAATAGGTCCTTGGGTCCTCAGCCTCATCTCTCACTGTCACCAACAGTGCTCTTGTATTCCCGCCATATTGAGTTGCCTCTGGTTCCCGACAGGCTCTGGTGGTGCTTGTATCCTTTCCTTTGTCCAGGCTTTCCTTCAGCCTGAAAGACCCTGCTTCAYTCCCCACGATACACATCCTGCTATGACTGAATTATGCTCCCCTCATTCATAGATTCAGACCTAAGCTCAATCTTGGGTTCTTGGGAGTAAAGTGGGTCATGAGGAAGGGGCCCCCATGATGGAATTAGTGGCTTTATTAAGAAGAGACACCAAGGAGCTTGCTCCCCACCTCCACCACTATGTGAGGGCACAGCAAAAAGGTGGACACTTGCCAGCCAGGAAGTGAACCCTCCTCAGAACCTGAGCAGGCTGGCACTCGATCTCTGAATTCTCACCTCCTGAGCTGTGAGAAACACATTTCTGTTGTTCAAATCCTCAAGTCTGTAATTTCTTATTGCAGCCCAAGCTGCCTAGCACACATCCCCATCCCAACTTGTCTATCTCCTGACCTTCCATATCCAAAGCTCCAATGTCCCCTCCTCAGGGAAGCCTACCCCCAACACACCCTTCAGTCTTAATACAGCACTCATTACATGGAGTTGTCCACACCTGGTGCTGTGTCCTCCATSATCCAGAGAGCTTCTTGGGTGAAGTATTGTGTCTGATCCTTATTGTGTCCCTGGTCCYTAACGTGTACTTGCCACACAAGTATTGAATAAATGACAGATGGCTTATTGAAGGAAAAAAAAATTCCCACTGGGTAAGGATGCTTAGCTAAGAGAATCGAGGCTACTTTCAATGGATTTGGTTTATCCATTCAGTGTGGCCACTCCTATCCCAGGCCCTGTGGCAAAAGTGACCACAGGCAGAGCCAGGACCAACCAGTACCTGGGCTTCCTGAACAACCCCCAAGTACACACTGATCACAGAGAGTGATGGGAGCTTTGCACTTTGATTCTGAGTGAGCCTGAAAATTTGGGGGTAAAAGAGCTCTCCGATGAGATGAGGGATGAGAGAGGAGATGACAAT